CTACCTCTCTCTCTCTCTCTCTCTCTCTCTCTCGATTCCACCCATCCCTTCATCTTCATTTCACGGGTGGCATGTGAGCGTCCTCTTTCTACTCTCCTTCCTTTTACACACACACACAGAGTGTACACCCGATTGATGGGCTTCTCAATTTTCACAGCTGCTAAGGGAGGGAGGGGGAGTTGAGTAATAAGGTGAAATATGCATTATAATTGATGAAATCCATGCTTATGTGCTTCTTCTATGTTAAGTAGGCTTAGCACCTTATTTAGTAGTAGAAGCATCGAGGAGAAAGCAAGTCGGTGAAGATAATGAAATGTTCTAGGGTTGAGTGAGTAGTTGAGACTAAACCCTGAACTCCCCTTTAATTATTTGAAGGCAGCCAGCAGTGTTCTCTCTCCCCCAACAATCCGTGGCAGATGACACTGTCTACTGAGGCACCTCTCAATGCCCCTCTTACTTCTCCTGAATCTTCCTCTAACATTCTCTTTTGACCTTCAAGTTGGTTCAGGTTTATAGTCCAGCATCTCCCAACTATTTCTCTAGTTTTTTTTTTTTTTTTAGGGTAATTCAATGGGAAAGACAAGCCCCTACCCGTTTTTTCAAGTAGATTAGGAGTTAGCCTTTTGAAGGTATTAATGAGGTGGTGCTAGTGGTAAAAAGTGGCAAGTCAATGGGAATCTAGGCCCCTAACCTTTGCTGAGAATGGAGTTAGAGACCTCACCATGGGACTCGACAATACTACCGCCAAGGCCTAGGCCATTCCCATTTTCCCAGTTAAGTGAAGGGATAATTCATTTTGGGTTAGCTTGAATTTATGTTTGTTTAGTTTTATTCATACCACAGTCTTTTCCAATGGTGTGCTTGATTAATTTTGTTTGAAATGTTTTAGAATGAGCACTGTTCATCCTGTAATACCCTTGCCATTTCTTCTTTAAAAATTAATCCAAGTAAGGAAGAGTTAAATTTCAATGAACAAGAATTTTGCAAATCTACACCTTGCATTCTTGTAATAAACATAACTTATCTAACTTATCCTTCTATAGCTTTTATCCTTGGTAATGAATGATTGAGTTATAAAGATTTCTCAAATTTTCTTATTCTTCCAGGTTGAAATCTCCCTTTGTCGGGTCTACAAACGGGCTGGAGGGGAGGATCTCTCAACAATTCCAGTGCCAAGGTTCCCGACACGACTAGGGAATCCGAGTGGTAGAACTGCTTTGGATGAGAATACAAGGGCAATTGATCATGCCTCCGATGAAAGCCTACAATTCGGCGGGGGTGATGCCACACCCTCATCCTCATCATCGTCTTCCACAAGGGTGCTGCATCATCAATACAACAACTTAGACAACTCAATGGTAACACCACCATGTAATGACACCTTACTGACCTTGATGGCCCCCACGACAACAGTTGCAGAAGAACTCCACAGATTAGTAGAATACCAACAAATTTATGTTCAGGCAAACCAATCACAAACCTCTCAATCACTATTGAACACATTTTCTAGCTCCTTGCCCAATCTCTCTGATAAGCTGTGGGAGTGGAATCCTGTTCCTGAGCCAAGTAGGGATTACTATCATTTCAAAGAACAATAAAACTATTACAATTGTAATGTTTTCCTTTTTAAATTGCATGGATAGTAGATGGTAATTTATATTAATTGCTTCACTCATTCTGCTCACCCTTGTACTTGAGAGATTCATAGAACAATGGATAATAATTAGACTTAATGTAACTATTGTGGCAGGTTTTTCATAGCTGTGCCTGTTGATGTCCTCATTTGCAACTACTTTGTCTATGGGTTAGTTTTGTGAAATCTCTTGTACTCAGGAGGTAAAGTTCTAGTACAGGAAATGATTTCACATGTTTATCATTATCAAAACATACAAAACTGTTTCACATCTAAAATTAGGTCGTGACTCGTGACTCACCCGATAATTTTATTCATGAATAATTATCTATTTGACTCCTTCAATTCGGTTGCCCAACACAAGTGAAATGCCATGGAACGCTTTGCTTCTAAGCTTACATGATTAAGAACATGTCGATTAATGTGTTGAGGAACTGGTACAAGAAGTATCTCTAGTATTACTTGGTGATAACTTAGAGGGAAGAAACACCATGGAATGGATATTTTGCGCATATGAAACTGGATTTCGCTCTACACGTTGACATAAGATCCACATTATGGAACCAATTGATTATCATGAAATTGGGGATCCACCTATTTGATCCATCAATATGCTCCCGTAGGACAAATTGGAACTGGAATCAGTCCGTGTTATTCATCTCCATCAAGAATAACATATACGTTTTGTAGCCGTCATTACATGGGGAGGCCCGGATTTTTTTGTTTTGTCTGTCATGGTTGGGAAACCCAGGGTTATGTGGCCAATTTGTGTAACAAACTATTGCTTCAAAGTTTTGCAAATAAAAGAATATCAAGAATGATGAGTAATGAATGTGCCCCAAATTATTACATATTTTTGTTATTTGATCAATGCAAATCTTTCAAGTAATAATACCTTCTTCTTCTTCTTTTTTCTAATTTTGTAGTTGTCATTGCCATGATTTGCAATGTATTCTATATTAAATGTAACTTTCCAAATTTAGATAAATTGAATAACTTTCATATTGAATTTCAGTCATATCAGCATCCAAGAATCACTGAAATTTGGAAAAAAGATCCACAACTTTGTGTCGTACAATGAATTTTTGAGCTTCTCATTTTTTCCTCTAAGGTAAACCATTAAGATAATATATATTGCAAAAATGATCAAATACAATAACTCAATTATCATATCTAGTATATGCATGTAGAGAACTCAAATTTATATGGAGTGCACAAAAAATTTCGAGGTGTGTGCGGAATCACCACGATGTTGGAAATTTAGATTTGTTCAGAAGATAAATTTGGGAGAGTGAGGCACACCACCTTTTGAGGAGGCTTAGGCAATGGAGAACTGTCAAGTTCCTTTTTTTTTGGCTACACTTGTTCTCCAGTCATTTCTCTACAAAACCATAGGACTTTTTTCATATTTCTTTTCTTTTTTGGGTGACCTTTGTGTCAGTATTTTTAATTAAAGTACTTTGCTCCTAAACTATGGCTTGGTGTTGCAAAACCATATTATTTATGTTATTTTCATATTTTTTACTGCCTTGGAGAATTCTGAGCATATAATGCACATCTTTTTACTTGTGAAGTAGGCTTCTTGATATGTTTTGGCTCCTGGCACATTTTATGAGGAAACCTCAATCACATTCCACTGTGAAAGCTACCTTAGGGAAAAAAAATCAACATGATAGTCATCCAATTATAGGGAGATGCTTTAGTCAAAGGCCATGGTAGAGCCATCACAGGTTTATCTCAAGGTGATCTCGAACTACTCATATCCTTCCTCTCTTCAAAATTCCCTGCTTTCTCTCTCATACATCTTCTAAACTAAACACCTATGCTTATTATAGAGGTTATTTCTGCAACTTTTCACACAAATATTAAATCCCTTCCTTTCTATCCCCTTCAAAAACCTTATTTTATTTTTCAGTAATTTCATAAATACTAGAAAACTACATAAAATTAAAAGAACAACCTAATCCCTTTTAAAATTTTGAATTATATTTTTCAACACCAAATTAATCAAGCATATTGTGGCTTCATATCCAATAGACCTACTGTAAAATAACTAGCGAGTATTTTATGGATCCCAACCTCTCCCTAAAGAGTCATTGCCGAACAACCCTAGGAGGAATGTTTAAAGTTTAAACTAGTTTTATCAAATTCATGGCATTTTTAAGAATGTGATTATGAGGTATTATTGATGCAATACCATTTAAGGGGAACAGAGGCTGTATTTTTGCAACACTTGCTCACCTAAAGCATTTGTATCTTAATATGTAACATATATCTTGGAGGTTTTGGGACTGATCAACCTTTTATCTTTTGTGCTTCCCCAATTTGATTGTCGACTTGACTCTGTCTTTATTTTACTTGAGCGCTTTCTCAGTGAGGTAGTTCGAGTGTTAAATAAAGTTTTACTTAATTAGCCTCTAGTTCTCTATTAAGGATGACACAAATGTTAAACTTTTAAACGTTTTTGACATTTTTCCAATAGTTATATATTTCAAGCACAACTTGAGATTCTGTTTTACATTATATGTAGGAAAAAGTTTATGTAAGGTTTGAACCCTAAACTGTTGAAGGGGGTACACCTCCAAAATCCATTAGAGAAGGTTGTCCTTATGCTCGAAAACTATCTGTTTAATCATCTCAACCTTGATATATATATATATATATATATGTATATATATAGAAAGAAACAATTTCAAAATCTTAGAAATGCTGCTTCTTGCAATGCATTATTTGGGCCGTGTATGAATTTCAAGTGTTTATAGATCTTCTTGATCTAAATTATTTTTGAAGCTTTAAATTTCATAATTAAGGATGAAAATAATTTTTTGACCATCACAATGGTATTGGATGTTAACGCTGCATCTTTTTGCACAGTTTAGAGGTATGTCTTACTTTGATTCTTTAAGATTGGCGTCTAATGAAAACCACATCCTTTTGTATATTAAACAAATTGGCAATAGGGTATATGCCAATTTCGGTAGTTGGCTACAAGGATTGAAAACTAGGCCGAGCTGACTCAGATTCGACCGAGTTACTTAGACTTTGCTTCTTGCCAAACTAAGTACTAGATGCCACTTAAAAAATATAAAGTTGCAAAAGATATATAAGTATATGGAATCATTGTATGAAAATATAAACGTAATTTAGATTTTTTTACAATAACTGCTGAGTTTTCTTGTCATATATCCTATTTTTACGTTTTCCACTCTTTTGAATTTTTTTTAAAAAATGCCACCATTCATGAATGGATTTTTCTAAATCCATATTTTAGATTTTTTTTCCTTTTTATTAACCTTTTGTGAACGTTTATGTTGCTTTTTGGTTTTGTTTCACTTTTGACAATTTTTATTTTATTTTTAATTTTTTATTTATTTTCTGAATTTTCAAAGTCTTTTAGACGTTGTACACTACGAGTCCACTTAAACTCGGCTGAGTTTCTTATCTCGAGCCAAGGCCGATTCTTAGGTCCCAAGCCAGTTAAAAGGACATCGGTTGACTGGGTCGTTCGAGTATTTGCCTGTTTCGAAAGCATAAGATGAGGTGGTAGCACCTCCGTCCTCATGGACATTTATGAGACGACAATTATGATAGCATGAAATGTCCCTTTTCTTTTAGAAGTCAAGGAAGGGATAAAAAAAAATTTAGATGGGGAAAGCCCTTATTTTTTGGAATTCCTTTTAATGGATCCCAAAAAAATAATAAAGGGTGATTGTGATGTTTTAAAAATAAATCAAGGGAAAGAAGATATAAGGGAAGGGTGAGTTGTACTAATTTTCGAGAAAAACAAGAAATTTCACTTCACAATATAGCTAATCTACTAATAAACTCGTATTGCTTATAATTATTAAGAACATACCAGACTGGTGGTTCGATCGGTCAATTGGTGACCAACACCTTGGCCAAGCTGGCCTCAAGTAAAAATTGGCTTCAGTTAGAAACCGCTTAAAATCAATGTTTGACCACTTTTGACCCTCTGGACCAGCTCGATCACTAAATGAAATTGGGTAAATTGTTTAGTACATTTTATGTTTGTAAACTATTGTATTTATTTATTTCTCTAAAATCTGATCTAGTTAGTTTCATTAATTGTCAGACCGGTTTTGATTGACCAAACTCGTCATGATTCTTTCCAATCATGATAACAATAGAACTGTACCTTGTTGGTGCTCCAAAGGCGATATATCTCATAGCACATAATAGAGAAGAAAACAATTTAAGACATCTTTCAAAAGTTTTGTAGATTTGTTTATGAAAAATGGCATAATACATTAATGTTTTGTTCTCTTAAAAAATTGAGTTCCCTTTTAGAGATATTTTGGAAATCATGCCAAATAAACATTTTCTTAAAAAACTAGAATATTAATTAAAAGTCCAGTTTTAAATAGAGCTTTGCTAACTAGGGTATAGATTAAATGGATTTATGTGTTTATGGATAATTTGCAAAATAATTTTAACATTTCAAAGATATGACAGGATCTCAAAAGGTTTAGAACAGTGCAAGAAGACATTAGATCCGGTCCCTATGCGAAAGGATATATGATATATACAAAAAAGGAGAAGAATATCTCAACAAATGGAATATGGATCAACATCCAATCCATAATGCAGTATATGCAATCTAGAAAGAAATTTAATAATGGAATCATCATTCGTCTATAGTTGTATACGATTTTCTTTTAAACAAATGTTATTAATTTTATTGATGAAATTAATAGTGTGTATAAAAATAAAATGTATAATTTTTATTTGCCTTTTATTGTTATTGTACATTTATGTAGAGATAATATGGTCTAAACTAAATATATATTTGTACATAAACCCTGTTTAGGTTTTCATCACTGTTTGAGAATCGATAGAGATTGTTTCTTTTTCTGGACTGTTCTTGAGTGCCTCACCTTTTCTAAATCTAATATGGTATATGCAGATAACAGAAGTGCAATTAAGATCGTATCTAATCCGGTTTTTCATGAGCGAACAAAACATATTAATGTAGATTGTCATTAATGTTGTCGATCACTATCTTGATGGCATATTATCTCTCCCTTATGTTTCTTCTATTACGCAAAAGGCTGATATTTTCACCAAATCCGTTACTTGAAAACGCCATGATTTTTTTGTGGACAAGCTAA